CACTAGGTATGTCTTAAACACTTTATTTAAATATTTCTGAATGATAAATAAGAAAATATATCTCTAAATTTGCTATATTAAAAATATTGCACATCATTTATCTTGAAGAGAAAATCTCTTAAAAATGGTAATATCAGCTTTTAAAAACCTTTAACAAAATACTTTCTTTTCAGATATATATAAACATTACCAGTCATATATTTTATAGAATGGCTTAAATTCTTAGTAGAAAGATTAGCAAGGTATTTTATGCTATAGACAAGAACTATTCTGTACCATTAGTCTACCGGTCTATTTTGGTACCAATACCATACCATTTTTGTTACTATTGCTCTGTAGTATAGTTTAAGGTCTAGTATACTCATGCTACCTGCTTCACTCTTCCTGCTAAGGTTTGCTTTAGCTATTCTAGGTTTCTTGGTTTTCCAGATGAATTTCATGATTGCTTTTTCTATTTCTATGAGAAATGTGATTGGGATTTTGATCGGAATTGCATTAAATCTCTATAGTACTTTTGGAAGTATGGTCATTGTGATTATATTAATTCTGCCTATCCAAGAGCAAGGTAGATCTTTCCATCTTCTAAGGTCTCTTTGATTTCTTTATTTTAGGGTTCTGTAATTTTCATTATATAGATCTTCACCTCTTTCATTAAGTGGATTCCCAAGTATTTTTTGTTGAGGCTATTGTAAATAAAAAAATGTTCATCATCACTAGCAATTAGAGAAATGCAAATCAAAACTACTTTAAGATTTCATTTTACTCCAGTCAGAACAGCAGCTATTATGAAGACAACAATAAGTGTTGGTGAGGATGTGTGGAAAAAGGTACACTCATACACTGCTGGTGGGACTGCAAATTGGTGCAACCAATATGGAAAGCAGTATGGATATTTCTTGGAAATTGTATATGGACCCACCATTTGACCCAGCTATCTTTCTTGGTCTATACCCAAAGGATTAAAAACAGGGACACAGTCACATCAATGATTATAGCAGCACAATTCACAATAGCTAAACTGTGGAACCATCCTAGATGCCCTTCAATAGATGAATGGATAACAAAAATGTGGAATAAATACACAATGGAATATTATTCGGCAATAAAAGAAAATAAAATCATGGCATTTGCAGGTAAATGAATGGAGTTAGTGAAGATAATGCTAAGTGAAGTTAGCCAACCCAAAAAACCAAATGCCAAATGTTTTCTCTGATATAAGGATGCTGATTCATAGTGGGGTAGAAAGAGGGAGCATGGGAAGAATAGACAAACTCTAGATAGGGCAGAGAGGGGGTAGGGAGTTAGAAATGCTGGTGGAATGTGATGCACATTATCCTCCAAAGTACATGTATAAAGACACGAATTGGTGTGAATATACTTTCTATATAACCAGAGATATGAAAAATTGTGCTCTATATGTATAATAAGAATTGTAATGCATTCCACTGTCATATATAAATAAAAATAATAATAAAAAAGATAAGAACTAAAAGGTATGGTAAAATACAACATAAAAAAGAAGTATGAACTTGTCTCATGACTGAAATGAAAAAAAATTCCAGCAAATCGTTTATTTACTTATATATGAAAACATATCAGGAGTTTTGGAGGAGCTGGGCAAGAGAAAAGGGGCTTCATTAGGCCACAGAAGTTGGGGGTCACATCAACCCATGGATATGTATAACTCGTATCTTTTACATTACTTTGGTTAAAGACATGATGTTATAATCTCTATGGTCTCTTAAAAAAATGTTTAGGGCAGCATTTTCATAGAATACCAAGTTCTGAATTGGGTTTATAACAAGTGTTTTCCAGTCTGAATTATATATTATTTGTTTTCATTAGGTATCTAAATACAAACTGAATGCTAGTCGGCCTCCCACAACATGTAATAGATTTCACTTAATATTTTTTTAAAATAGTTTGCTTATCTAATCTTTTTTTTTTGAAAGAACACTTAAGATAGCAGGTATCTAAACGGTAGTGATAATATACTCTGTAGTGATTACAATGTACCTAGGAATTAATATTCAAAAATAATACACACAGAGAATTTTTGTCAATAATATACTAAATGTACTATATAAATCATATGAAATACTACAAAATGTACCATATGATATGGTTATCATTCTTAAAATCATCTAAAAAGAAACATTTAGGAAGCTGTATTTAATGGTCAATGTAATAAATAAAGGAATTTTTAATCTGAGGTAACCAGATAAAAATTAAATATCAGACTTAATTTAAATATAAAATGTATTACAATGACCATTAAATCAGTTAAAAACCCCATTCAATGCCTTCTGTCTCACTAAGAATAAAAGTCCAAGTCCAACTGTATATGGCCGGTTTATGTATACAATCCCATGGTGTATGATATCCTCTCATTTCTCTGATGTTATTTTCTGTCTCCCTTCACCTACTTTCCCATCACTCTTTCTCTCTCTACTTCTACATACCAAGTCCACATTGTTCTTTGACTTCCACATATATACAATTTCAGAGCAATTTCTATTTGCTGTACATTTTAAATCTTCATTCCAAAGTTACCCAGTAACTCATCTTAAATTTAATACCCTCATCTATTTCAAATCTCCATTCCTTTATTTATTTTCCCCTTGGCATTATTATGTGACCTACTACATACTACTTACCTTCTTATTGCCTGCATTTTTCTCTAGGATGTGAGTTCCTCGAGGACAGAGGATTTTGTCTGTTTTATTTTCTATAATGGTGCATGGTACATGGTAGGTACTCAAATGTCATTAAATAATTGAGTGAATACATGTAAAAGAATTTTACAGTATATAATTTAAATCAACTATTCTGTTACTGACAGGATGCTTTTAACAAACATTCCTACTAGTAGTTTTCAAAATGTACAGCAAATGTACAGCAGCCCCCTTAGCTAGCTGTTCATATCCAGCACTGGCTGATCGCTTACTACATGGCAGATTCTTTTCTAAGTTCTTAACTCATTTAACCCTTCCAGAAATCAATAAGGAAGAGTGTATTACCCTCATTTTACATAAGAAAAAGCTGAAGCACTGAGTGTTTACGGTATCTAACACAGGGATGAAAACTTAGATAGATATCTAAGACTCGAGGTATTAATTTTAAATATTCTACAGTCTCACTTTAGTGTATTCAGTAGTTTTGTCACGTTGGCACATATTAAGTTGTATTCAGTAAATGTAAAACAACCACTTGAGCGTGAATAATGTTACAGTCACAAGATTAGATACATGGCTTATGCCACTTCATTATATTAAATTTATAAGACAGTGATTCATCTCTATTTTACAACTGAGGACACAGAGCCTCAGAAGTATCTTTTCTAGTATCTTACACTTAAAATGAGGACTCAGATTTAGATTCAGCTTTGCCTAACTAAACTAAAAAAAAATCTTCCACTATTTTTCACAAAAGAGCTATCCTTCAGCTAGTTTTCTCTGTTCTGTACATATACAGTCAATTTTAATATATTACACAATGTTCTTAACATTTATTTACTGATAAATTTCATTTCTTTGGTTTAAGTTTACTGTTTCTACCTATAAGTAACTTTTTTAATCCATTCTGCCATCAAATTCAAGAGTTACCCTTTAAATAGTAGTAAGCAAATCTCTTTCAAATGTTTAGATAGGAAGCTTGACTTACTATTTATAAAATTCAATTATCAAGTATTATTCAACATAATGTATTTATTATCTGAGACAGACAGACAGACACACACACACACACACACACACACACACACACACACACACACACAACAAAGTTAATGTTAGACCACAAACTGACCCAGTAGATAACCATTATTTAACCTGAGGGCGATGGCAAGCATTTTCTATAAACATGCAGACAGTAAATAGTTTAGGCTTTTCAATCTAAAATCTCTATTGAAACTACTCAACTCTAATGCTGTAGCCCAAACAGCCACAGATAACACATAAATTAACATGGCTCTGTTCCAATAAAACTATATTTGAAATCTCAGGCAGTGTGTCAGATTTGTCCTGCAGATAGTATTTTGCTGACTCATGGTATAATCAATCTTGGAATTGTGTACAAGGTATTTACCACCTGTTTGATTCATAAAAGTATCACAGAATTTCTTATCAAATACTTAGCTTTAGGAACTATTATGTCGACAAGCTGCCATAGCCATTAATGTAATTTACCAGATTAAAGAAAAAGTGATTTTGCTAAAACTTACTTTTAGTGAATGTCTGCCGATTTTTATTGATCACCTCTACTTTTTATATGTATACAAAGTGTCAGTTACATAGCAGCTTATGCTAGCATTCTGATATATTTGTAAATCAAATTAACTGATTTATAAAAATATACCCAGTTGAGGATATCTTTCAAATTCATGATTTTCCTTGATATTCTTTTATTATTGCTTAGTCTGTCTTACTTACATAAAGTAAGTAATTTCTGTTAGTGTTCATATTTTCCAAAAAGTATAATTTATTTTAGCAGGGAGCTGTGAAACAAAGTTATTTAGTTCAACCTTTTGTTTTTTTAAGTTTACTTCAGTTTTTATTTATCATTTTATTTGTTCTTTTTAGATATACATGACAGTAGAGTATATTTTTTAACATATTATATATACATGGAGTATAATTTATTCTAATTAGGATCCCATTCTTGTGTTGTACATGATGTAAAGATTCACTGATGAGGTATTCATATATGAACACAGGAAAATTATGGCCAGTTCATTTTTTTAAATCACCATTTAAAGTCATCCCTAAATCATAGTTCTAATCTTTCCATCCATCACCATGTTTTTATGTGAACAATGTTTTGTTATATTTCCCATTATTTGGAAATCAGTCTTATAATTTGAGACAAAACTTACTAATCTGTGCAATATTTTATACATTATTGGATGTGTCCCTTATTTCATGTATACATACACACAACAGTAGTCCCTCTTTACCCACTGTCTAGGGTATCAGTTACTTGTGGTCAATTGCAATCTGAAAAATTACATGAAAAATTCTAAAAATAACTCATAAATTTTAAAAGAGGTGCTGTTATGAGGAGCATAATGAAATATTACACTATCTTGCTGAGATTTTTGTGAATCATTATGCCAGAATAATATATATGGTATCTGCTAGTCAGTCACTTCACAGCTCTCTCTGCTATCGTATTTGCTACCTCAGTATCACTGTACTTGTGGCCAAATAATTTGCAAGAATAGTGATTCCAATTTGCCAAAGAAAAGTTACAAAGTGTTTATTTTAAGTATATATTATCACAAGAAAAAGGATGAGAAAATACAATAAGGTATTTTGAACGAAAGCATATACACATAACTTAATCCAGTATATTGTTAGAGTCATTTCTTTAAGTATTAGTTATTGATAATCTCTTTCCATGCCTAATTTCTAAATTGAACTTTATCACAGGTGAACAATCCATGGTTTGAGGTATCCTTCAGGGATTTTGGAATGTGTCATTGGCAGATAAGTGGGACCACTGTATATTTTTTCATTCTCTCTCTCTCTCTCTC